GGATGCAGAACTCATCTCCACGAGCGCACGGACTTTCCCTCGGTGTGCAGTGCGGTTAGTGCTCAAATCCTGCAGGTCCAGCCGCCCCACCACTCCCCAGGGGCCCGCCCTGCCCGCAGGTCCTGCTGGCCAATCTCCTTTCTCTATCATGGCGCTCAATCTGCTCCTCTCACAAAATTTGTCCTTCTTGGCATTTCTTATCTGTCTCTCCCTCCAAAGTGTCGGTGACATGGGGGTAGGGACTTCATCTCTCGGCCAGAAGTGTGTGTCCCTGGTGTGTGGTACTCAGCCTCTAGCACAGAGCAGGTTCTGAAGAACTGAGCCAATGGCTTGGCTGTGCAGCACGACCTGAAGGGCATTGCGTTTCCATGTACAGGATGGTCCCCTGTTACAGAGGGCTCAGCATCCTCCACAGTAGAGATCCAGAAACTGGGGGCCTGTGTTAGTTGGTCGTAAAAGCACATCACTTTACATTTCACAGTAAGTGACAAGGAGCTTCAGCAAGGAAGCCCCAAGGCTGGAATTCTGGCTTTGTAACCCCCTCCAACCACTCAAGGACAGAGCATCAGGTCCTAAGTCTGAAATTCAGCTAGAGCAGAGAGTCCGGGGTGGACTCAGTCCTAAATCCAGCCTGGTCAAGGACACCCAGGAATGCACACAGTGGTCTCCCGAGGGGCCACAGCCCGCTATGGAGAATGGAAAGAACAGGCTTCAATGGGCAAAAGCTGCATCTCCTTACTTAGCAATACATGTGTCTTTTTATATAACAGATTTAAATAAGTAATGCAAGCTGTGAAAACCTGTGGTTAAAAATGAACGGGGAGGGGCGGGAATACGAGATGGGACAGATGGCTGCCGTGCCTCCTCCCCGGCAGGTGAGACAGAGTCAGCTGCGTGAGCACATCTCTTCTTTCTTACTGGCACACGTGTCGGCATACACTGCAGAATGAGCCCTGCACACTCAAACTGCACAGTCAGCCCAGCCCAGCAGCTCTGGAGAGGAGTTCCACGGCCTTGTGCCTCACCTACGGCCAGAGTGGCCCCTCACCAAAAGGAAGAAGAAGAGCGAGAGAATCATACAGACCTGGTCAAAAGCATGGAGATCCAATGGGAGGTGGGGAGCCAAGCCTGGCACTCACCCTTGGGTGGCCGAGCTGCATCCCCTTTCCCTGTGCTGCCTGTTGGACCCCTTGGCCTTCTCCCTGCTGCCCCGCCTACACCTGCTCTCTGCCCGCCAGGACCGTCAGGGCCTTAGGGAGATCCTGCCTGGCCCACTCATTGGTTCGTGTAGGAAAATCTTCTGCCCCCAGTTCGGGGTGGAAACCAGCCCTGTCCTCCTGCATCCCGGTGGCCAGTCACAGTCTGCCCGTGTCTGAGCTGTTCCCACAGGCCTGGCACAGCCATCCTCATGTCCCCACCCGGCCCTCAGTTCGGGTCCTGGCTGCCTGTGTCGGGCCCTTCTCATCAGCATTCTGCCTCTCTGTCATCCCCACCGCGTGCTGTGTGCCGGCCTCCTCCCCTGGCCTCCATTCCTGCACCCGTAAGTGCTAAGGGCTGGCTACTGGTGCTGGGGCAGCACAGTCCACAGGGCGTCCACAAAGCCCCCCAGGGGGTGGCGGGGGCTGTCCCAGGAAGGAAATTGCAGTCTCGGGGAAGCCTGCCATGTATCAAGCACTCATTGGGCCAAGCCCCCATGCCAAACCCTTTAAATGCAGGATCCTGTTAAATCCTCACAGCTACTCTGTGAGGTGTCGTAGTTGTCATCATCGCCATCCATCCTCATTCAATATACAAGGTGCCTGAGACAGAGCAAGGGCAAAAACTTGTCCGAGGCCACAGAGTTATACATGGTGAGCCAGATACATGGTGCACCCAGGCAGCCCGACTGCACAGCCTGCCCTGTCCTCACCTGTCCCACACCAGGTCACAGGCACCCAAGCAAGTGCCTAAGCGCCGGCTCAGGTAGGAGGGTGCCTCCTGGTGGCGGAACCGTGGGTCAAGCCCCTCGTTTCTCATCAGCAATGCCAAGTTCGTGACTGAAGATGCCTCACAGGGCACAGGAGGGTTCAGTGTACTGACACATGTGACAAGCTTAGCACAGTGCCCGGCACCGGACACACTCAGAACACAGGAACCTTCGTCACTGTCACTAAGGACACAATTGTTCTGGCTGGAATATTCCAGATCTCTGTCTGACCCCTGGTCTCTTCTCCAGGAGACTCATGTACTGGCTTCCAATATCCAGTCTCTTTTCTGTTTATCCCTCCTTCTCATTCTTCCACCTTCTCCTTTCCCCCTCCTTCCAAACCAATGCGTCACTGAATCTGGTTAATTCATTTTCATGCTCAGACCCCTGAATGTGTCAGCAGGAGGCGGTGGGCGTGAGGTAGAGAATGAGGGAGCTTGTGTAATGGGACATAAATAAACTCGCACATGCATTTCTTTTTCAATTTCAGATGTTATCCCATCCCGGGGCCGTATTTGCTTTGTCTTCTCTTGAATCAGAGGGAAGATGCGCACTCATGCACCTCTCCCCAGCACACAGGCAGTGGGTGCTCAGTGAGTCTCGGTGCACCTGGTTCAGTTCAAGGCAGCCTTTAGGCCTGAGGTTCTCAGCACCTCACAGGCACTATTTCTTTGAATGCTCTCATGGGCAGCCTGTGACTGGCCTTTTAAAACCTCTGGGCCTAGCAGATAATGAGCGCTTAAATACCTGGCTAATAAAGGAGACGTGTTCAGTTTCTACCCTCTTAATAGACACATCATTGTAAACCCCCAGCCTGATCCCCGTGGCTCCTTACTGTGGCCTCTTAACCTCTGGTGTCGCTCCCCACTAACATTCAGGAAGGGGGTTTGAGCACAGACTTTCATCTTGGTGAATGGCAAGGCCCAGGTGACAAGGACAAAGCTGAGCAGATGTCTAGAGAGACTTGATGTTTTCCCACAGGGTTTGATTTGAGCAGCATCCAGAAATTCCCCCAAATCATCTAAAAGCATCTCCCTTGCCACGGGAAAAGGCATTCCTTTGGGTTACCTCTCAAGGTGCTTCCCGTGAACTACAGATCACGGAGACTCAGCACACCACCGCATGGCATGGCCACATGGGCCCCAGTCCAAATCCTGGTCCCACGAGTCACAGAGCAAATTCCTTATAGTCCACTCCTCAGTAAAGCTGTGGGGAGATCCCCCAATTCAGGGTCTGACATTTGTGGGTGCCTTCCTCCCTCTAACAGCCCAGTGAGCACAGGGCGCTGAGGAAAAGAAGAATTTTGAGGGAGAGAGCAAAGGGAAAAGAAAGGAAGGAAGGATGCTTCTAGAATCTGTCAGGCCTGGGTGGGACGGGGTGGTGGGTGGAAGCTGGGGAGGGAGGGCGCTATTTACCGGCACCATCGACCAACAAGGGCTGAGAATATAAAGCAAGGCATTGTGCTAAGGGCTGAGAAAGTAAAAAGGAATTTTTATTTATAAGTTATACCCACCTACTTCCAAAGAGATTCTGAAGGTGACTCACAATGAAAACCACATACACAGCAAGATCACTGAAATAGAAAAATCAAATCCATGGAATCAGGCACAAGACGCCGACATTCATTATCACCGTGCTCCAAGTTCTTGAGTGCATTCCGTCCTTTAATCCAACACCCCGGCTTACCGATGAGATGGGCAAGAGCCCAGGAGTGAGCCCGGGACAAGCACAGGCACAAGGAAACCTCCTCTGTTGGGCTCGGCAGGCCTGGGGCCCAGGGCCCACAGTGCTTTCAGGCACCTAGGAAAATGTTTTGCAGTTTCTTTTAAAATCAGAAGATGAAATAAAGGACATGTAGGTTAGAGGAAATCTTTTCTATATAATAATATTGGTATATTCTTCTTTGCACCAACATAATCACAGAATATAGTTTTACCAGTGTTTTAATGGAGGAAGGGCTCACACATGGGTGAGAGGATCTGCTGTCCCCGAGTGCAGCGTGCAAGTCAGTTCTGGAACTGGAGAGACTGTGGGGAGATGATGCTCAGTTTCATAAAAACGGCGTGTGGTTGGGCACACGCACTGACTTGATAATGTGCATGTGGAAAAATGTAATTTTCTTATTTACTTTATAACTAACCTACTTTTTCTCATCAGTTCCACTAGGTATCAGGACAGGGGGAGGAGCCTAAATTTTGTCTGGTTTGGTGAACTTTCTATCTGATTCACTAACCAAAATTGTCATTCCAGGTACCGTGACTTGTAGGATTCAGGTGAATCTCAGCCTTCAGGAAACTGCTTTCTCTGCCTGCAGAGCCCAATGTGGTGAGTGATTCTGACCAGAGCCTCCTGGCAGCCAGGGAGGAGGTCCCTGGATTCCTGTGGCATGACCCGGATCCTCACGGCCATTCACTGCCAAGGGCGGAACTAGCCATCTTCCCAAACACAGATGGCCACAGTGGTGAGCAGGGCCTCGCCTTGCTTTCCGGGGTGCTGTGCCAGAACTGGGGGACTCCTTGGTCCCGTTGCCAGGCCTATCCTCTGCCACTTTGCCGGCCCTCTCAGTACCTGCTCAGGTGCTGCCTTGGGCTCCCTTACCTACCACTGCCTGCCACACCTCCATGCCATGGTGTGGGTGCCTCTCCTGGGCTTGCGCTTCACCCTCAGCCCAGACACTCGCTATCTCCTTCATGCTTTTTTGGATGCTTCAGAGCTCCTGACATGCCGGGTTGTGCCTAACATACCGGTGAGGAAGGTGGTGGAGGTGACAATGGCAGTGACAGAGAAAACCTTGCTGCCTGACGACCTGTCCCCCTTCTCACAGTCCATCTGAGCAGAAGGGACAGGCTTCCTTCCCCTCTTCATTTTCTAAGATCAAGTCAGGCAGACATAACTCTTGATATGTTCAATGAGAGTTCAGAAAATTTAGAAAGTCTCCCCCACCTACTAGGGCGCCCAGCAAGCAGCATTCTGCTCACTGGCCCCACGTCCCAGCCAACCTAGCGATCACGCCTCGGGCCGAGACCTCACCAAGATGCCTTCTCAAATGGAACGCACCATGGAAATGATGGTGTTCACACTTCACAAATTCGCTGGGGAGAAAGGCTGCTTAATAAAGGAGGACCTGAGAGTTCTCATGGAAAAGGAGGTCCCTGAATTTTTGGAAAATCAGAAAGATCCTCTGGCCATAGACAAAATAATGAAAGGTATGAACCAATGCCGAGATGGCCGTGTGGGCTGCCAGACCTTCTTTTTGCTGATTGCCGGGCTCCCCATCACGTGCAATGACAACTCTGTAGCACACACGAAGCAGGAGGGAAAGAAGCAGGCAGCTGAGCAGCTACTTCCTCCCCGGGAAAGAGCTTTCCCAGTGGGTCGCTTGAGGAATCTCTGCCCAGCGGCTTCCCCGTGTGAGGATCTCATGAGCAGATTGGGACCCTTAGAAAATGTACAGATAAAATCCCACCCCCTTTTGACAAGAGAAAGAAAAGCCAATTAAAGCCAGATAAGCTTTTGATTTTTATATTGCTTGCATCCTCTTGTCCTCAATGAACAAATTTCTTGTTTTAGTTCATAAAAAAATTTAGAAAATCTTTTATCTTAACAATGACTAGCTTTCCCACCTGAGAATCTTTCCATTTGAGAATCTTTCCATCTGAGAGTGAGATGCAGGCGAAATCTAATCTGCCTTTCTCTTACCTCCTGCCCCAAACATTGCTTCAGTAGACGAGAGACCCCAGAACAGTAAGATGTAGGATATGAAATCTCATCTAATAATATTCCAAAAATAATTCCACTAATTACTTCATGGCAGAAACATATTTATTCAACAGGAGAGACCAACTATGCTGATATTAAATTACAAAAAAAAAATAGTATCTGGTGGGTCCTTCCACCAGGAACATTGACCAGCACGGTGAACACTATCTTCAATACCTATTCAGGAAAACTTCCAGTACTATTCTATCAATCCTCAATACTATAGATTAGAGCACTGAGCATTTCTCTAGCGAAAGGGGGCTAATGTGGTGATTTCAGTGTGCTGCTCCTGGTGTTCTTACACTTGAATGCTACGTAGACACCCAGAGGAAACAGCACAGTGTAGCACACCTCGGTTCTCTTGGGCAAGGTGTCTCCCACTCTACAGGAGGTCGGGGAGCATTTCAGAAAGGGGGGGGCACAGTGAACCTCTCAGCTACACGGTTTTTCTGAAGATTGGTTGTGATTCAAAATGTGAATTAGAAATTGTTTGGAGTTTGGGGAGGAACTGAGTTTCAGAGGAAATGACTCAATAAGTATGAACTGCTGGAGAACAAGAAAGCAGACTCCGGGATCTTCTAGATTTAGGCCAGAGATAGGCAACTCTTAGAGGTTTGAATACAAACTATGAGTCTTTCTCTTGGACCAGGAGAAGGATGAGAAGGCTGTGACTAAGAATATGATGGTAAGGAAAATCAAGATCTTCACGTTGCAGGAGATTATTTAGTCCAACTGCTGCCTTTGAGATGGAGAACAAGACAAGAATGGTTACTGTCACCACTTCTATCGACATTTTACTGGAAGTCCTACCCATTTCAGTGAAGAAAGAAAAAAAATGTAATGGAAAAGATTGAGAAAAAAGAAACAAAACTTTAAACATGCACAGATAATACTAAATATTATTAGACTTGGTAAGAGAGTTTAGCAAGACTGCTTGGTATAAAATTAATGTACAAAAGTGAGCTTATTTCAATACATGAACAACAATCATTGTGAAGTGTAATATTTTAAAAGTGGTTATTTACATTTACAACAAAAATGATGTATTTATGAATGAGTCTAACAAAATTTATGCTAGGCTTCTATAAAAAATTAAATTCCATTGAGAGACATTAAAGAATGCTGTGAGAAATGCAAAGGTATACTATACTCATGGATGCATGAGTCAGCATTGTACAGGTGTCATTTTCCCCAAATTTATATGTAGACTCATTGCATCCCAACCAAAATCAACAAAGTTTTGCATGTAGAATTTGGTAAAGTTATTATAAAATTGATATGAAAGTACATAAGAAGAAAAACAAGGCGAAGGAATTGTCCTACCAGGTATGGTGACTTTTATAAAGCCATACTAATTAGCACAGTGTGGCAGTGGCACCGGCGTAGAGAAATTGGTCAGTAAAACCGAAGAGAGAGCCCATGAACAGATCCACACATACATAAATACTTGATATATGATAGAGATATGATTACAAAGTGGTGGGAAAGAACATATTTAAAAAGAAAATGCTGGGGGAAAAGAACTTCAGGGAAATTTAAATGAGGAAGTCCCTGGTGGGGGTCTTTAAAGATCAGCCCAGCATCTACAGAAGCTCCTCTCAGAGAAGCGCAGGGAATGAAGGAATCTGCTGTACTCACAGGTCCTAGGAGATGACGCACTGCACAGAGTTTGTTATATCTCAAGTTAAAAAAAAAAAGAATGCAGAAGGTATCATACTTACTTACCACACCTAAAAATAGACTAAGCTTCTAGTTTAACCTCTATGAAATTGCTCATATTCAACCATTTTGTTTCCGAAAAATGGCAGTTTCCTACAGTTCACCCTAACATTGTTTAGGGTACGTACATAAATGGTAAAACCATAAAGGAAAGCAAGGTCATAATGAGCAGAAAGTCAGGATACCGTGGCCTCTGGGGAGGGGGTGGAGTTTTGTGTGGGGCAGTGGAAGGGCAGGGACCTCTGCAGGTATTAGATATCTTCTAGGCTGTTTCTTGATCTTTTGAGTGGTTACAAATATATTTGCCGTATAGTCCTTTTAAAACTTTGAATACGTTTTACGCATTTTTAAAGTGAGAAAAATGTAGATGCTTATTCTGAACTCAGGACAGGCTAGCCAAATTTTCTGCCTACAGCTGAGTGGCAGAGAGAGCAGGAGAGCAGGGCCCCTCCTGCTGGAAGCCACGGGGACTGCATTTAGATTCCCTGAAAGAGCTGCCCACCACAGTAGGTCTTGTTTTGTTTTCCCCAGATAACAATTGGCAATGCCTTTATTATTCCACTTATAATGATGTATTACTATAAATTATTTTTGTGTGTTCCCCCAGTAGAGGCTGAGCCCCTTGAAAGCAAGGACTGAGAAGTTTTTGCAGATGACCCAGTAAAGCAGAGCATTGGGAGCACTGTAGATACTCACCTAAAAGTCAGCTGAAAGGATAGACTCCAGATGAATGGATGGAAGGGTAGATGGATGGGTAGAGACCTTAAAGGTTGCAGATCTTTAGTAAATAAGGGATTTTATTTTCCGAACTAGTGAAGAGATTTGAAAGTGTATCTAACAATTTCGGTGACTGGAACAATGTGTACCGTATTTTGAGTATTCAGCCATGTCTCCATCTATTTATGCTACTGGGACTTGCTTCTGGTCCTTGCCAGCCACCCAGGGCCTGCTACTCTCTGACACAGATCCAGGGCACTGGCCCACGTTGCATTTTAGGTAAATAGTGCTCCCAGAGTTGCGCAATGAAGAGGGTCAGAACCTGCCTTTGTTGGGGCACAGTGATGACCCAGGAAAGGGGTGTCGGAAAGTCACCCCCTGTGCAGGCTGCTTCCTGACGTGCCCTCCCCGCCCCTCAGTCATGGAGCGTGGGTGCTCAGATGGCACGGTTTGGGAATACGTTATCCTTCTTCACCCCGTTTCTTTCCTCTTACCTGCTTTCCTCTCTCCTCACCCCCTCCTCCCCTTTTGCTCTTCTCCCTCTTCTTCCCTCTCTTCCTCTTTCCCTTCCTTGCTTTCCCTTCCCAAAGACCCAGAGGGGTCTTTGTCCCCTCTGTCTCTCTCCAACTCTGTCCTTGTATCTCTCTTTCTACTTTTCTAACCCCTGCACTTGGCAATCTCTCCAGTCCACTACTTATACCTCCTACTGTCAGTCAGATGGCAGAGCGGTAAGAAACACAAACGTTTCAGCTATCTTCCCCGTCCCTCCCCAGGACACTAGCACTGACCGTGGTTTTTAGAAGGCTGAATTCTCTCTGGGTCCTTCACCCCATGTACTCTCCCCACCCCAATTCCCCCCTGCAGTACGGACATCTCTGGGTGGCCTAGAACCTGCACCACCAGGGGACCATGAAACCCCCCTTCCCAAAGCCGCAGCCAGAGAAGGGGCCATTTGTTACTTCTAATTGTATTCATCCTTAGCCCTATGAGCAAACACCCGCCCTCCTTCCTGGACCCCATAATAGAAACACACATTTTAGCTGCCCTTCTCTTCACCCCAAAGAAGGACTGCTTTTGCAATGAGGGGCATCAGAAGACCGTCGCTGCCAGGAGCGCGTGGATGCTTCCTCCACAGTCTCTGCCCTGGGCTGCTCTGGCCTGATTGACAGGAGAGGTGGAGATTATAGGGAGAGAAGGGGAGGGTGGGGAGGAGTCTGGAGAGGCAAAGCCCAGAGGGTACAAAGACTCAGAGAAGGGAAGATCAAGTTCCTGAATTTTAGAACTGGACCAGCTAGAGGATCATCCAGTAGCACTCTCCACCCCCCACAACCCCCCACATCACCCATTTGTCAGAGGAGGAAACCAAGGCCTTAGACACAAGAGGCAACTTGCTCCTCTGAGGCGGTAATTGGCAGAGTTCGGAGCAGCAGGCGGGTCTCCTGATTCCCAGCCCAGCCCAGCACCACCCTCCGCCTGACTCAAGGCAGAGAAAGTTGACGGTCTTGGCAACAAAATGAAACCTTTGATTTATGAGAAACTCTGAGATATCTTCCAGTTGACAGCCTTTGGAGAATTGCATAAGCCCACACTTTTGTGGGGGCAGCACTTAATGAAATGAACACGAGTTATTCATTTTTCATTACGGATGACATGCAGAGAGTCCGTATCTGAAGATGAAAAATAGGTCCCAGCCCAGAGCCCCTTGGTCCTAGGGAGCACTTGTCTCAAGACCCAGAAATGGGGGGCAGGGTAACGCCTTCCAGATACCCTGTCATGTTCACTATCTCATGTAATTCTCACAGGAACACAGGAACACATGGATTAGGTATCATTACTCCAGTGTTGGAGATGAGAAAACAGAGGTTCAGAGAGGGCAAGCAACAAGCCCAAAATCACCCAGCTAAGTGAGAGAATAGTCAGAATTTAACCCCTCGGCTGCTTTGGCTCAGCGTCAGTAGCTGTCGTGCAGGACCTGGAGGCCGACTGTGCAGAGCCCCGAGGCCAGTTGTACAGACACACACTCCAGCTGGACGCTCCATAGACAGAGGAGCCCCGGGACCTGGCAAGGGGAACGCTGGGCCCTGGTGGTCAGCCAGGCCCAGCTGTACAGTGGCCGAGCTGATGAAGTCTAGGGAACAGTGGGGCCATGAACATGGTGCCCGGTAGGGCCTGTTTTCACTGCTTTCCAACTCCCCAGCCCAGGAGCGAGTTAGCATCTGTGTCAGGAAACCCAGGCAAGCCTCTGACTCAGATGTGTGTGCTGCAAGTGTGGGCCTTGGGGCCAGGAGGACCTGAGTTTGTATCCTGAGCCTGCTGCTCATTAACCGTCAGCCTCTGAAAAGGTGCCTCAATCACTCCTGAGCCCCAGTTTCCACACCTGCAATAGCTACAGAACAACATCTGCCTCTCAGCCTTGCCATGAAAGTTATTATTATTAATACTAATAGCAGCCCTGGCTGGTGTGCCTCAGTGGATTGACCATCAGCCTGTGAACCAAAGGGTCACGGGTTCAATTCCCAGATCAGGGCACATGCCTGGGCTGTGGGCCAGATCCCCAGTAGGTTGTGTGCTAGAGGCAACCACACACTGATGTTTCTCTCCCTCTCTATCCCCCCTCCCTTCTCCTCTTCCTAAAAATAAGTAAATAAAATCTTTTAAAAAACTAATAGCAGCTCTTTAATAGCAATGAAAACTCTCAGATTTTGAGTGCATTTTACATGCTAAGCCCTTGATTACACCACCTGAGCTAACCTTCAATGAGCTCCATTGCACCTGAGAAAATGAGGATGCAGAAGTGCAAAGGTGTTATCTGTGCTTGGCCAGACCACTGAGTGCGCAAACGCCGGGGTCAGAATCTGAACCCAGGCCTGCATGCAGCCCCAGCCCACTTACACGACCCTCCCCATAAGCAAAGTCCCTACCACATAGACTTGCAACAAATGGGAGTTCTAGTCCCTTCTTTCTCCCTACAAAGCCCAGATTCCCACAGTGCCCTCTGAAATTTGCTTTAGGGCTTGCCTACACAGAGTTTTCTGGAAGTCAGGAGAAAGCTGAGGCGGGTGGGGTGTATCTCCTACTCCAGACCTTTCTCCCCTCCCCCAGCCTTCCTTCCTTATAGGGTTTGGCAAAAGCTGGCCTGGCTCAAGGACTCTGTGTTGCTGGAAACAATGCACGTTTATTTTGGCACCGCAGATCGGGCCTGCTCTCCCCGCTCTGGATGCCTCTGTGGGAAGAGGACCTGGGGCACGTGGCCCAGGCCTGTCAGCTCCCATTACTCCCCAGCACGTCCAC